TTTATTGTAACAGTTTATTGTAGACCGTTGACACTGGAAGAACAAGAGAAATCACCAGTGAATGTAGCAACAAGTTGATATTGCAGTGCTGGAGAACCTCCAAAATAATTGGAGAACGATTGTAAGAATAATCTATGGAGTACATGATGTACAGGGTGCTTCTGCAAAAATTAGATAATGCTCAGAAGTATTTAGAACTGGAATTAAAAATAACGATCCTGCTTTCTGTGTGTTAGAAATAACGGATCAAGATGATCACCTTTCCATGTCCTTTATCAGGATGGCCTTGAAGAAAGAAATAATTGTTTTGTCCCCTCAACCGAGGACCAATGAAGATGCAGCTGGAACTGCCAGTGACTTCCAAGTGCTTTGGAAAAGGGCTTCTTAAAACAGAGTTGTGTCAAGTCAGTTTTACCCTGCAGCAGTGCCCCCAGTTTGTTTCACTTCATGTAGAAGAAGAAATACCACGTAGAGCCAAGCTATTGGCTTGCAGGGAAAGGTTACTGGAGAACACAGCAATACTCTACGCATTGTTCAATCAAGCGGTAGCAGAAAATCAGCAAGCGTTGAATATGCCCATCACCTCTGATCTACCTGTGGCACGCTGGCTAGTCGAGAAGAAGTTACAAACTGATGTGGAGAACTTGTGGCCAATCGCAGAATTCATGGGGTGGGCAGACGAGAGCTGCTGGCTCCTGCACCGTGACAGGGAGGAATGGTATGGTTTGGGAGCTCCACTTTCTGTTGAACTCTGCTATAAGCACAACACATGAAATCCCTTCCCTGTGTAAGATGGAGAAAGTGTGACGGTTTCGTAAAGCCAGTTGAAATGGAAACAAAAGACATCAGGAATGTATGCAGTACTGAGATTATAAAAGACACAAGGAAAACTTAGGAACATTACGTTCGCGAGTGACTGAAGAAGAATCTCTGGACATCGGAAGGAGGAGTGCCCTTGTGCAAAAAGGGGATAAGACTGAGATGTGTAAAGAGATGGAATATACCACAAAGATTCACCATAGCCTAAAAAATAGCGGGATGAAGAGGAAATCTCTGCTGCTGTAGGCAGCGAGCAGTGTGAACAAGACCTATGTCGTCTCAACCCAGTCGAGAAGGACCGGGTGAAAAGGAAAGCACAAGACTGTTAGCGAAGTGCTGAGGTGGCAGTTCCCGCGGCAGAGGCAGCGGCGGCGGTCGGTGGAGCCGTGCGTGCAGTGCCGGGCGTTGGCTGCGGGCGCCGCTGTTCACCGTGGAGGAGAGGAAGGAGCCGAGCGCTGCAGGCAGCCCCGCCCGCTGCGGCCCGGCTCGCTCGCTCGCTCTGTCTCTGTGTCGCCGTCCGGGCGGGCTGCGAGTGTCCCCGCGGAGCGGAGCGGTGCTGCAGCGAGGCGGAGGGGCGGCGGGTGAGGTCGGCAGCGGACGCCGAGACGGAGCCGGAGAAGAAGCGGAAAGAGAGAAGAGGAAGCAGAGATCGGAGGGGGAGCGGCGCGGCAGCGGCGAGCGTGAGGTGTCGGTGGGGCCGTGCGGGAGATGTGCTTGGCGAGAGAAGGGCGCTGGGGCCGGAGGCAGCGGGCGCTGCTGTGCTGCGTGTTGTTGGCGGCGTGGGAGGCGGCGTGGGGGCAGCTGCGCTACTCGGTGCCCGAGGAGCTGCCCAAGGCCTCGTTCGTGGGCGACGTGGCCAAGGACCTGGCGTTGGAGTTGGCGGCGCTGGGCGCCCGCGGCGCCCGAGTGGTGTCCCAAGGCAGGGCGCAGTATTTCGCTCTGCATGCGAGCAGCGGCCACTTGGTGACGGCCGAGAGGATCGACAGGGAGCAGCTGTGCGAGAGCGAATCCGAATGCGTGCTGCGCTGTGAGCTGATCGTGGAGGGCGAGATGAAGGTTTATGCAATCGAAGTGGAAATCACGGATATTAACGACAATGCGCCCAGCTTCCGAGAGGGAGTAATTGAACTGAAAATGAATGAGGTGACAGCACCGGGGTCACGATTACTTGTGCCCGAGGCTCACGACCCGGACGTGGGTGTGAATTCCCTGCAGAGCTACGCGCTGAGCGGCGACGAGCACTTCTCGCTGTCGGTGCAGGCGGGAGCCAACGGCGAGAAGCGTCCCGAGCTGGTGCTGGCCAAGGCGCTGGACCGGGAGGAGGCGGCGTTTCACGAGCTGCTGCTGAGGGCGAGCGACGGCGGCGAGCCGGCGCGGACGGGCACGGCGCGCATCCGCGTGGCTGTGCTGGACGCCAACGACAACGCGCCCGCGTTCAGCCAGGCGGTGTACACGGTGCGAGTGCCCGAGGACGTGCCCGTGGGCTCCACGCTGCTCAGCGTCACCGCCACCGACCCTGACGACGGAACCAACGGAGACGTGAAGTATTCGCTGAATAAAATTACTCAGAAAGCCTCGAAGATATTCCATCTGGAGCAAGATACTGGAGCGATCAAGCTGGTGAGGAATCTTGATTTCGAGGAATGGAACTCGTATGAATTGGAGTTACAGGCACG